AAGGATTCACATTGCAAGCCTCATCACAAATGGATCCGCCCTCCTCCTCCTCCACCCCTGCTTTTCCGCAAACTCCTCTCCTCGATCTGTACCAACGATGGCTCCTGACCGTGCTACTACTACGATCACTACGGCTACTACGACGACGACTACTACGACTAGTACTCTGACGACTACGACTACTACTACTACTACTACTACTGCTGCTACTACTACTACTGCTACTACTACTACTACTACGACTACGACTACGACTACTACTATTACTACTACAACGGCTACTACTACCACTACTACTACTACTACTACTACTACTACGACTACTACTACTACTACTACCAGTACTACAGCTACTCCTATTACGACTACTACAACCACTGTTACTACTACTACGACTACTACTACTACTACAACTACTACTACTACTACTACTATTACTACTACTACTACTAGTACTGCGACTATTACTACTACTACTACTACTACTACAACTACAACTACAATTACTACTACTACTACTACTACTACTACTACTACAAGTACTACTACTATTACTACTACTACCACTACTACTGCCACTGCTACGACCACTCCTACTACTATTACTACTACTACTACTGCTACTACTACTACTACTACTAGTACGACGACGACTACGACTACGACTACGACAAGTACGACTACTACTACTACTACTACTACTACTACCACCTACTACTACTACTACTACTACTACTACTACTACTACGAATACTACTACTACTACTACTACTACTACGAGTACTTCATCTACGACTACTACTACTACTACTACTACGACTGCTACTACTACTACTACTACTACTACTACTACTACTAGTACTACCTCTACATCTACAGCTACTAGTACGACTACTTCTACTACTTCTAATACATCTACTACTACTACTATCAGGGGTAGTAGAAGTAGTAATACTACTACTACTACTACTACTTCTTCTTCTTCTACTACTACTACTACTAGTACAACTATTTCTACTACTTCTAGTACTATTACTACTACTACTACTACAAATAATAATAACAATAATAATAGTACTGCTACTACTACTGCTGCTACGACTACTGCTACGACGACTACTACTACTACTACTACTACTACTACTACGGCGACGACTACAACTACGACTAGTACAACTACGACGACGAGGCCTACTACTACTACTACTACTACTACTACTACTACTACTACTACCGTACTACTACCACCACCATTACTACTACTACTACTACGATTACTACTACTACTACAACTACTACTACAACTACTGCTACTACTACCACTACTACTACTACTACTACTACTACTGCGACGACTACTACTACTACGACTACCACTACGACAACGACTACGACTACGACTACGACTACTACTACTACTACTAGTACTACTACTACTACTACTACTACTACTACTACTACTACTACTACTAGTAAAACTACTAATAATACGACTAGTAATACTACTAGTAATACGACTAGTAATACTACGACTACTACGACTACTACGACTACTACGACTACGACTACGACTACGACTACTACTACTACTACTACTACTACTACTACTTCTAGGAGCCCTCGCTGGTACAGACTACTACAACTACTACTACCTGTGGGAGCCCTCGCTGGTACACCTCAAACACAACTACAACAACAACACTACCAACTACTACCACTACGGCCTTGAGGGAACCCGGAAACATTAGTCTTGCGGTGTGTCTTTTTTGAACCCACTGCAGGAATCTTAAATAGCATGGTCAGCCGACCCAGGGCGCGCAAACTGCAGCCAAACCCCGTATGGGTCGCGCCCCGCGCCTACATCCGCAGGACCTCTCAGCTCCTTGACCCGGACTTCCGACCTATTAGCGTCCACAACTTCATCCCTTCATTCAACCTCTGTCCGTTCCTCTCTCCCCGCCCCTTCCTGTCCAGCATCTCTCTGTCCAGCCTCCCTCCATCCTTCCAGCCTATCTCCATCCATTCTCATTCAAGCCTCCCTCCTGCCTACCATCGGCCTCCCTCTTTGCCTCCAGGCTTCCACCCAGCAGCCTGTCTCCAGCCACCCTCCATTCAGCCTTCCTTCATCCCTCTATCCATTCAGCCTCCATCCAGCTACCGTCAAATCCCCGAGCATCCTCCCTCCATCCACTCTCCTTCAACCGTCCCTCCTGCCTAACTCCGGCCTCCCTCCTTGCCTCCAGGCTTCCACACATGGAAACGAATTACAAATCCGCCTCAATAGAAAATGCTTTGAGGATGTCCGCTTTTCTTTTTTTCGAATTTTTCAGTTCTTCCAATTTTCCCCAGCTCTCCAATGAATTCCTGCTGTGGCGCACCAACAAAAGGAAATCAACTGTAAACCTTCAACAACAGGAATTGACTTGTAAAACCGCCACAAAAGGATTCTAATAGTAAATCCGCCTCAACAGGAATTTAGTTGTAAACCCCAAACAAAAGAAATCGAATTGTAAGCCCGTCACAAAAGGAAAACTCAATGTAAACCCGCCGCGAAAGAAATTCATTTGAAAATCACCTCACAAAGGAAATCCTTTGGCAAACTAGCCACAATACCATTTTAATTGGCAACCAACTCGCCGCCACAAAAAGAAATTCATTTAAATATCGCCCCACAAAGGGATTTCGTTTTGTAAACTCGCCGCAAAAGGATATGAATTGAAAATCAACTCACCGCCACAAAATAATTTCAAGCGAATATCGCCTCACAAAGGGAATTCCTATGTAAACTCGCCACAATGAGTTTGATTGTTATTCATGTACACATAGAGTCCTTTAGAAACCAATAAAACAAACTGAGATATAAGAGAACTTAATAAATTGAAACCCCCAGGGCCCCGGCAGAGGGGATTCGAAGTGTGACGCCGCCACAAAAGGAATTTAATTGAAACCCCGCCACAAAATGAATTGCAGTGTAAGCCCCTCGCAAAGGGAAACCACTTGTAAACCCGCCACAAAAAATCAATTGTAATGCCAATACAAAAGAAATCTTTGGAGGGGTTTCGCTTCCCCATTTTTTAAAACAAATATCCCACCTCTCAATCGAATTCTTTTTGCGGCGCACCAACCAGAGGAATATAATCGTAAACCCACAACGAGAGGAATTCCATTGTAAACCCCTCACCAAAAGGAAACGACTTGTAAACCCGCCACGAAAGGAATTCAACTGTAATGCCAATAGAAAAAATGCTGGTGCCTCTGAAGCCTCATGATGACTCCGTCATTGCCCAAGAGAAGCACCACCACCACAGTGCCAAGCATCCGAAGGACGCGTGGGCAGAAGAGCGCGCAATTGGCAACCCTCCGGGACTTGCGAGAACAGCACAGGAAATCGGAGCGCATCACGACTGTGAAAACTGGGCGCATCACGACTGTGAAGCAGAAAACGTGCTGCGAGACAGGAGGGCGAAGGAGAGGAGAAATAGGAGGAGGAGGAAATAGGAGGAGGAGGAGGAGGGGGAGTGAGGAGTGAGGAGTGAGGAGTGAGGAGGAGGAGGAGGGGGAGGAGAGAATAGGAGGAGAGAGGAGGAGGAGGAGAAATAGGAGGAGGGGGAGGAGGAGAAATAGGAGGAGGAGGAGGGGGAGGAGGAGAAATAGGAGGAGGAGGAGGAGGAGGAGGAAAAAGGTGACTCATGGCTGCCACGGCCGACCCCGCTCGCTGTGAGAACGCCAACTGTCTGGGAGAGCGCTCAGTACTGCAGCCTTGGCTATCTCGGCGCGGGCCTTGGTGGGCTTGTCTTCCACCACCACCACCATAAGTAGGAGGGGGAGGGGGTCTTCCTCCCCCTCCCCCTCCTCCTCCTCCTCCTCCTCCTCCTTCACCTTCTTCCCCCCTCCAACTGAGTGTGATTTCTGCCAAGCACGACCCACTCGAATCTGCGATCTCGGCGCACAGCGTCCTTTGCTGGCCAAATCATGTGTACACCCTGCGAAATGCTTAAGAAATCATGGGTTAAGAAACTCATAGTCTCAGAATTGGAGTAAAAGCTCCAAGTTCCTACCAAATTCTTAGGATTTACATTGAAACAGTAAGAATGAGACTCTGGCCGAAAACTTAGGTTTTCTTAAGCATCGCCTAAGGTGTAGGAGAGCGGTTTCGCTCCGGCCTTGTCCAGCACGGTGGCGCTGGAGACCCTGGAGATAAAGGATGGTGGGGCACCCAATCTCTCCCCGACGCACTTGCAGTGAAAGGCGACTAATCGCGCCATCTCGGCTTTGAGAAGCCATACGTATATTCCAGAAAGAAGCCAAGAGAGCCAAGGGGGGCCCAAGAGATCTCCACGACAGCCCCACGAGTGCCGAATGGCATCAAAAAAGCGCTCCGAGAGGGCCCCTAAAGGCTACATAATTTTCGGCCTCCGAGGGGGGGAGGGGTGCGAACTGATGATCCCATGGGACCCAAGACGCGAACAGCAGTGGACAATTCAGACGCTGCGACCATACTGCCCCAGGGAGTCTCAAGCGATGACCAACATTTGAAAACGGCCTGCCTTGCATCTGGGAAGCGACAGGGAGCTTCAGAAGCCGCTGTCGCGGGTGATGAAGAAGTCCCCAAGCCATCTTACGCGGTGGCCTACGTGGGCCGCCAGCGCGGCACGCCACGTTTGAAGCGAGGGCGCTTACATAACGAGCGACCTTACGCAGGTAACTTACGCAAATATGTTGGAGCAATTGGACCAGTTCTGTCCGTCGCCCAACTGGTCACTCAAGGGGGTCATGAGAGGGAGGAGCAGCAGGACGAGGGAAGCAGGGGCAAACTGGGGGGCTCGCCTCCCCGTCCCTTCGCGCTCCATCCGGCTCATCCCAGGGATTGGCCTAAACAGTGGCTTTCGTTTTCGTGTTGTTCTCGTTGTCCCTCGTTTTGTCTTCAATCTGCCGTTGCTGCAAAACGACATCGAAACGGGAACGGCCCATGAAATCGCCAAAACACCGTTTAGGTCGACCCCTGGCTCATAAATTTCCTTCCCCTCCAAACATTAATCCCCTCCAAGCGCGCAAACGGCTCATGCCCTGCAGTGAGCGTGCTGCCTCCAGAGCATGCGCATGCCCTGCATTGAGGGTGCTGCCTCCAAAACATGTGTTTCCACCCGTGCGTGAATGTCCAATATGCCAGATACGGCGACTTGGCGCCGACCGCTAGCACATGGATGCAATAAAAATTCGAACATCGGATGCAAGCCCTGATGCGGACACGCATGTCGACAAAGACAAGGTGCAACTGGATGCAACTAGATACAGACCCGACGCCGACGCGGACACATGCGTCGCTCGTGCGGGCCAGCACGTCAGACGCATGATACAAAATGATTAACAATAAAAGGACCCCTAACCCTTTGGGAAGGGACCCAAGTTAGAAGTGCCAACATCATTCGGGATATGGGAGAGAGCGTGACCCACCGCCGCTTTACTGTGGAAAATTGCCAGCCTTTTCCTCCGGTGCCCGGGGGTCGCCCCCCCCCCCTCCGAAAATCCCCCCCCCCTGCTGGAATCCCTCCCCCCCCCCCTTCCCTGGCAAAGCCCCTCCCCTCCCCTAGCCCACCCCCCTCCTCCCCCTCGAAAACCGGGGGGGGTCACTACCGGTTCGAACCCCACCCCACCCCCCCTTCGAAAACCGGGGGGGGTCACTACCGGTTCGAACCCCCCCCCCTTCGAAAACCGGAGGGAGGGTCACTACCGGTTCGAATCCCTCCCCACCTCGCCCCACTCACCGCCAGCAAACGACTCCCGGTCCCTACCACCGTCCGCATCACATCCCCCACTGTTGTTCCCAGCACCACTGTCCTCACCACCACTGTCCCCACTGGTTCCACCACCGTCCCTACTGTCCCCACCAGTGCCCCCACCACTGTCGCACTGTCCCCGCTGTCCCCAGAACTGTTCCCACCACGGTTCCACTCTCCCCACTGTCTCCACGGCCCCAACCACTGCCCGACTATCCCCACTGTCCCCACTGTCCCACTGACTCCTCCGCTGTCCCACTGAGCTGTCCCACTGTTCCCACCACTGTCCCCACTGTCCCCACCACTGTCCCCACTGTACCTCTGTCCCATTGTCCCACCGCCGTCCTCGCCACCGCCTTCACCACTGTCCCCACCACCATTGTACCCTCCACTGTCCCACTGTTTCCACCTCATTCCCATTGTCCCCACACCACTGTCCCCACCACCACCGTCACCACCACTGTCCACTGTCCCCCCCTGTTCCCACCATTGTCCCCACCACTGTCCCCACCACTACCGTCCCCACCACTGTCCCACTGTCCCACTGTCCCCACCACTGTCCCGCTATCCCCTCACCACTGTCCCCACCAACACCGTCCCCACCACTGTCCGCACCCCCCTCGGTTTTCGAGGGGGGGGGGGGTTCGAACCGGTAGTGACCCCCCCGGTTTTCGAGGGGGGGGTTCGAACCGGTAGTGACCCCCCCCCCTTTTCATGATGAACTGGGGGGGGGGGAGGGGTTCGAACCGGTAGTGACCCCCCCGGTTTTCCGGAGGGGGGGGGGGGGGGGGGAGGGGTTCGAACCGGTAGTGGCCCCCCCCCGGTTTTCCGCCAGCAGCGGTAGAACACGCTCTTTCGGATATGGAGTCTTCTCTGCAGGTGTATCAAGCCAAACCACCCAGATATATTATCCCGAATGCAAAGACGGGCACCTAAGTGTGACCACGTCTTCACTATCTTATTAGGGTCAGGGGTTCTCTTATCCTCGGTGACAAAAGGCCGCATGCGACATCAGCAGACTGAGAACCGTGAGCGAATGCAAACACACATCCCCACAAGGAGATCGAGGGCGCAGGAGTCGCGAGTGAGCTTGCGCAAATGCTGAGGTGCCCGATCTACTGCCCGTAAGCCGGGGCGGAGCAGCAGCAGCAGCAGCAGAGCACACGCGAACCCATGCAGAGGGGGCGGGCGCCGGTCGCGCGCCCGCTGCCTCCGAACGGGGACTCCGAGGGTGCAACGCGGGTGCGCAGTCTGCAAGCTCCTTGCGAAGGCTCCGCCAAGCCTGAAGCAGGCGCGCGCACTGCAACCCCAGCGGCCCCACATTGGGAGGAACAGCGAGATGGAGAATGTTCTTGTGTGGATCGGCGATACCCCAGGGTATCCTAGGGCGGGAGAGGGGCTGGCCGAAGACCTCACCTCCGCGCTGTGGGCAGCCCTGCATATGCCCGCGCGCACCGTTGCTGCGGCCCCTGCAGCTGCTAATGATTATGCGACAATGCTGCTAAATACTGATGCTGCGACGATGCAGGCGCCGCCTGAGAATGCCAGAGGATATGTCCAGACAGCTAGCGTTGGGATACGCGGGATGGCATTGCTGAGGGTAGCGGCGGAATCTCGTGTACACAAGAGTGCACGCGTGCACCACAATGCCTGTGAACACTACAAAAAATGCGTACGCCACACCGCCCTTGTACGCAACAGGCGATCACTGCAGACGCAACACCGGCTTGCACCACAGCGCCAGTGTACACCCTGATGCTCGTGCACACCGCAGGAGCTGCGCGCAGTACAGCGCATGGCGATCATTTGCGCCACAACCCTTCCGTGCACCTCCAAGGTCCCGACGGGATCCAAATCTGGAAAATCGCCAGGGGTCCGACCGTATCAAATTCAATGTGTAAGTCATTTGTGATTGTTGATTATTTTGGCCCGGGGTACGGTCCCCCCGTTTGGAGCCGACCACGTCTGTGTACACCACGCTGCCTGTCTAGTGTACACCACACCACGGCGTCATTGTACACCACAGTTGTTCGTGTACACCGCAGCGCTTGTCTACACAACTGTGTCTGTGTACACCACAGTGCCTGTGCACCAGCCGCGTGCACCACAGCGCCTGTGTACACGACGATGTTTGTGCACACCACAGGAGCCGCGTGCAGCACAACGCATGGCGAACATTTGCGCTCCAGCGCTTCCGTGCACCTCCAAGGTCCCGACGGGGCCCAATCTGGAAAATCAGCGGGGGCCAGAACGTATCGAATTCAATCTGCAAATTATGTGATTATTGATGATTCCCGGCGGAGCCGGGTGAAATTCCGTGCCCGCCGGTGACTGACTGACTGACTGACTGATTGAGTGACTGACTGATTGATTGATTGACTGATTGACTGACTGAACGTCAGGAGGGCGCCTTGAACAACACATTTCAATCCGCCCGCGGGCGCGCAACCGCAACCGCAACTGGGCGCAACATTTCGACCCGCCCGCGGGCGCGCAACCGCCACTGCAACTGGGCGACACATTTCAACCCGCCCGCGGGCGCGCAAACGCAACCGCACCTGGGCGACACATTTCAACCCGCCCGCGGGCACGCAACCGCAACTGGGCGACACATTTCAACCCGGCCCGCGGGCGCGCAACCGCAGCCGCAACTACGCGACACTTTTCGACCCGCCCGCGGGCACGCAACCGCAACCGCAACTGGGCGACATTTTTTGACCCGCTCGCGGGCGCGCAACCGCAACCGCAACTGTGCGACACATTTCAACCCGTCCGCGGGCGCGCAATCGCAACCGCAACTGGGCGACACATTTCAACCCGCCCCGCGGGCGCGCAACCGCAACCGCAACTACGCGACACATTTCGACCCGCCCGCGGGCGCGCAACCGCGACCGCAACTGGGCGACGCATTTCAAACCGCCCGCGGGCGCGCAACCGCAACTGCGCGGCACAGTTCGCCCCGCCCGCGGGCACGCAACTGCAACCTCAACTGTGCGACACATTTCAACCCGCTCGCGGGCACGCGACCGCAACCGCAACTGTGCGACACATTTCAACCCGCCTGCGGGCAACTGGGCGACACATTTCAAACCGCCCGCGGGCGCGCAACCGCAACCGCAACTGGGCGACACATTTCAACCCGCCCGCGGGCGCGCTACTGCAACCGCAACTGGGCGACACATTTCAACCCGCCCGCGGGCGCGGCACCGCAACCGCATGGGGGCGACACATTTCACAAAACCCGCCGCGGGCGCGCACCCAACCCCAACTTGGGCGACACATTTCAACCCGCCCGCGGGCGCGCAACCCCAACCCCAACTTGGCGACACATTTCAACCAGCTCGCGGGCGCGCGACCGCAACCGCAACTGTGCGACACATTCCAACCCGCCTGCGGGCAACTGGGCGACACATTTCAACCCGCCCGCGGGCGCGCAATCGCAACCGCAACTGGGCGACACATTTCAACCCGCCCGCGGGCGCGCAACCGCAACCGCAACTGGGCGACACATTTCAACCCGCCCGCGGGCGCGCAACCCCAACCCCAACTTGGCGACACATTTCAACCCGCTCGCGGGCGCGCAACTGCAACCGCACCGTTCACCTGCCGTCCTCCTCCAGGGGATCTGAGGCGGAGGAAGGGTGGGAGGGAGGTGGGAGGGAGGGCGGAGGGAGGAGGGAGGCGGGGGGGAGGAGGAAAAAGGGGGGGAGGGGGAGGAGACGGAGGGAGGGTAGAGAGCTCACAATGATTGGGGGCGGACATCTTGTGCCCCCCCCGTTCTGCGCAAGTGGATCTCCGCAAGGCTCAAGGCACTGGATTCCTTATCCAAGGCCTCCACGGTCTGCTAGCGGGATGGGTGGGTTAACCGCCCCCGAAGGGGGGGGCGAGGCTTTGACAGAAGTTTGAAGTTTCGGAGGCGATGCCGCGGGGATCGATTGCGCGTTCGCCCGCGCGCAAGCTGCCCGCGGATGTAGGTGCATCGGCGCCGTCTTATTCATGAAGCCTGCCGCGTCTTATTCATGATCTGGTGCAGGAGCAGGTGGAGGAGGAGGGGGGAGGAGGCAAGGGAGGAGGTAAGGCAGGAGGAGGAGGAGGAGGTGGAAGAGGAGGAGGAGGAGGAGGAGAAGCAGCAAAACGAGGAGGAGGATAAGGAGGAGGAGGAGCAGCAGGACGAGGAGGAGGAGGACCAGGATGGCATGGCCAGGGGGAGGAGGAGGAGGAAGAGGAGGAGGAGGAGGAGGAGAAGGAGGAGGAGGAGGAGGGCGACGGAGGAGGGGGATGCCAGGGTAGTGCTGCTTGAGAAGGTGCACGAGCAGGTGCTTGTTGCGGAGCACGGAGGAGGATGAGGTGGTGGACGTCAAGGAAGATATGGGCGTGGAGGTGGATGTCCTCCTCGCGGCCTCCGGGCGTGACCCGCGGTTCTCCGCCGGCACATTGCAGCGGGGAATCCCCATTCCACGCTGCTGCTTCTGATTCTAGTTAGGTGGTACGGTCCCCCCGTTTGGGGACGACCATTTCTGTGTACACCACAATGCCTGTCTAGTGTGCACCACGAAGCCTTTGCACTCCACAACTCCCTGTGAACTCCGCAGCGCGTGTCTGCACAAAAGTGCTTGCGTACACCACAATGCCTGTGTACACTACAACAGCCGTGTGTACAACAGCGTCTGTGTACACCACAATGCCTGTGTACACTGCGACGCTTATGTGCACCACCGATGCTGATTCAGCACCATGTGTGTGGACAACAGCTCTGGTGCAACAAAGTGCGCGTGTACACCACAAGACTGCGTACACTTCCAAGGCACCGGTGGGACCGCAGTCCGGAAAATAGTAGGGGATCCGAGCGTATCAAATCCAATGTGTATGTTGATTGTGATTAACTACTGTTTTTCGGGCGAAAGGGGCAATCCCGCCTTTTGGACCCACGACGCGTGTGCGCACCATAGCAACATAGAGACTGTGTACAACAGCGGATGCGTACACGGCGGCGCCTGTGTACACCACGAGGTGTGGTAAACCGCAATGGCCGTGCGCCACAGTGCGTCTACACACCACCATGCCTAGGAGGCCTGCGTGAACCGTAGCTGCTGTTACAGCAATAGTTGTGTACACAACAAAGCCTGTCTACAACAAGGTGCTTGGGCGCATCACGATGCCCGCGTGCACCGCGCGGCGTGCGTGTACTTATGCTCGCGTGCACCACAACGCTTGCGTACACAACAGACCCTGTTGCAGCATCATGAAATTCATGTGCACCACATCGTCTCGCTGCCTGTGCACAACGCAATGCCTGCGTACGCGCTGCTCACGTGCACCTCCGGATGCCTATGGACGACGCCGGCCGCCGTCGTCGTCGCCCTCCTCCTCCTCTTCCACCTGCCACCCCAAACCCACATGTCTCACCAGTGTGCATCCAAACACCAGCATGCTGTTGCGCACACCACCGCGCCCGTGATCACAGCGCTCCCTGTGAGCTCCCTGCCCCCCCCCCCAGACCTTGCCCAACCGACAAAATGAGGTTCTCTGGGCGGGGGGGGGGACCCCGATGACCCGAATTATCGCAGGACCCCCAACAAAAACAGCCCTGTGCATGAGCATAAACTTTGCGCGGTCCCCGCGGAGTTCTTGGGTCCGTCGCCTCCGGCGAGCTGGGCGCTCGCCAACGAAGGGGGGCCCAGCGACGGCCCAAGACATCCGTGCGGACCGTCGGAGATATGCTCGCGCCGTCCTGTCTTCCGAGCGACTGCGTGGGATTGCGTGCCCTCCGGTGCTGGCGCCACCGACTGAACCGCTCAACCGTCGGAAGAGGCGAAGCCCATGCGGAGTAAGTCCATACGGAGTGCTCGGTCTACGTCTGGGCTTACTCCGTCTGGACTCAGACTGTCCTGATATGGGGCGAAGTCCATGCGGAGTACATCCATACGATGTGCTCGGTCTCAGTCTGGTCAACGTTTCCTGATTCGGCGTTTCGACCTTGCGCGGGAGAGGGGGAGGGGGGGGGGTCCAGACCTCTGCTTAATGCGACTGTTTGCAACAGTGCGTCCTACGGGGGAGACTCCACCTGCTTGAAACAGGCGCCAAAAGCAGCCAAGATCTACTCCATGGAGTGAGTGGGAAGGGGGTGCGAGGGCCCGCGCCGATCGGCAAACCAAAGAATCCGAAAACGATTGCCCGGGATTCCTCTGCTTGGGCTCAGCCTCTCCTGAAACGGTGCGCGATCTCAGCTGTCGGGGCCCCCCAGAGGCTGCCAGGCCGGGCTGCGCCCCGAGCGCGGGCGCTAGCGCCGCCGCAGCGCCGAGGCGGCCGACCGACGAGCCTGCCAGGGGTCAGGTCGAACGTGTCCCCCTACAGGCGGATCTTGGACGAACAGTTAAACAGAAATCGAAGAAAAAAGACGCTCCAAAGTGGTCAACACATGTGCGGAGCATCGTTCCGAGACGAACGATGTCTGGACTATGTTTGAACGCTCTCTCTGTAGAGGGACAGGCCCGCCTTGAGCCTGCCAGGGGTCGCAGGACCGCCCCGCTGGCCGATCGGCCGCCGCGCGCCCCCCGAGGCCGCTGCGGCGGGGCGGAGCGGCCAGCACCGCGGGGGGGGGAGGCGGCGCACGCGCAGGCACAGGGGAAACTGAGCAGGGACCTCCTCCTCCTCCTCCTCCTTCCTCCTCCTCCTCCTCCTCCCCTCCTCCTCCTCCTCCTCCTCCTCCTCCTCTCTCCTCCTCCTCCTGCTCCTGGTCCTCCTCCTCCTCCTCTCCTCCTCCTCCTCCTCCTCCTCCTCCTCCTCCTCTCCCCTCCTCCTCCTTCCCCCCTCCTCCTCCTCCTCCTCCTCCTCCTCTCCTCCTCCTCCTCCCTCCTCCTCGCCTCCTCCTCCTCCTCCCTCCTCCCCCTCCTCCTCCTCCTCCTCCTTCCGTCCTCTTCCTCTCCTCCTCCTCCCCCTCCTCCCCTCCTCCTCCTCCTCCTCCTCCTCCTCCTCCTCCTCCTCCTCCTCCTGGGCCATAGCAAAGGGGGGGGGTGAGAGCCAGCTCACGTCGCTGATCTTCCCGGCGCCTCCCGGCGCCGGGAGGCGCCCATGTATCGAGGAATGGACCTGGCGGCGGGGCCGAAACCAGCTGCGTGCAGCAGATGTCGTACCCCCTCCTTTCCCTATCCCCCCCTTTCGCTCGGCCCGATTCTCCGACCTTCCACTCCCCTCCTCCTCCCCATGCATCCTTCGTCTCTTCCCCTCTCTTCCTCGGGCGTCTCCTCGAAGTTCCTCCGAGGGCCCTTCGAAGGCCTGGCCGCTGCTGCTCAGGCTGGGGTTTCGTCCTGAGTCGTTTTCTGACGACCCCGAGGGCCGGTGAGGGCCCCCATGGGGCCGAACGGAGAAAAAGGACCGACCGTCCCGGCATTCCCGCACTGTTCTCAGAACAACAGCCCGATGTGTCAAAACCAGCCAGTCCTGGCCAGAAATGTTCTCTGAACATGTCATGGAAACCACAAAAGGCTCTTGGAACATGGTTTGGCAGGCCTATAGGCACGCCAGAACGCTTCGCCACTGCTTGAGGAAAGGCGGCACGGATACCACCAGGGCGAGGGGACGCGAGGCGGCAAGGGGGGTCTCCCTGGTGGTGTGGCCCCCCCTCTCCTCTCGCTCGAGACATCCCCAGCCTCCAGCTCCAGGGGGCAAGTATCGTGGACCTCCTCGCTGGAGGTCGGCCCCCGGTGGTGTCGGTGTCGCCTCTCCACCCTCCGAACGTCGGGGGCGGCCAAGAGGGGGGGGCGTCCAAGAGGGGGGGCGCAACTCTTGGCCGGCGGCACGTGCGAAGCCCAGGGGCGGGGCCGGGGACGTAATGACATAAGAAGGGTCGCCATGAGATCTGAGGAGATGTCATCCCCCCCACCATGCTGTCCATCCCCCCCTAATCCTCACCCCCCTCCTGACCACCTAACAAACCATCCCAACCCAACCCGAAGACCCTAATTCCGGGTTGGGGGGGGGATGGGTTCCATATGTAGTTTTTCCTTTCAGTGTCCCCCGACCACCCACCCCACTGGAAAGAGGGGCAGATCGGGGCCTTCGGGTTGGGTTGGGGTGGGTTGGTGGGTGGTGAACTCCTGGCCGCCCCCGCTGGAGGTGGGCCCCTGCTGGTGCTGGTGCCGCTTCTCCTCCCTCCGAGCGTCCACATTTTTGGGCGCGGCCTCGCCAAGGCAGGGCAAGCCCAGAGCCCGCTCCACCGCCCCGGCTCCCAGAGGGGCACCGCCCCAGACGTCCAGCGCCGTGCTTCTCTGTCTCGCCGCCATGTGGGACCACGGGAGGCCCCTGGAGTCAGGTCGGGCATGTCCTCCTACAGGCGGAGGATGCACGAAAAATAAAGAATAGCCAAAAACACACTCAGCAATTGTCAAACATAGTCAGAACATCGTTCCCGAACTGTTGTTTTCCGTATTTTTGAATATGCCTCCTGTAAGGGACACGCCCGACTTAACCTCAAATCACTCGAGCCTTCCCAGAGACAGGTCTTCCGTCCCGGACTCATATGTGATCCTCTCGGTTTCCGAAAGCGTCCTCCAAGCGGCCAGGATTGCTAAAGACCTGCGTCTTGAGTTTGTCTGAGACATTGGAGGTCAAGGGAAACGTCAGGAAGCGAGTACATCGAGCGCCGGGGATCTCTGAGGGCGGGCGAATCCAAAAGGTGTACTTCGTGCGGGTCCTGCGGCCGTCACAAGGCGCCCCGAAGATCTTAGAAGCGAATTGCTCGCGTCACGGGGCTGCCCGCACCAAAGATCTCCAAGGGTCCCGGAAGCCCCCGGAGGCCTACGGAGGCCTATGGAGGCCACCAGAGGCCTCTGGATGTCCTGGGGCATCTCTGGGAGTGCCTCCAAGAATCCCCAGAGACCCAAAATTGTCAAAGAACACCTCGATCTCACACTTCTCGATCCCCCCTGGAAGAAGCCCTTGCCCCAACCAACCGTCGACCGACCGAACGACCACGGGGACCACGACGACGTCGGCGGCCACAATTGCGACGACGACCACGACGGCGACCCTGATGACGGCGTCGACGGCGAAGGACGACGACGACCAAGAACACGAAAGACCACGCCTGCGGTCGGACCTAGGACAGAAGAACATCCTGCAAGAGCATGAGGCCATCCGCCGGCCAAAGCACCCCAAACCATAAGATCACCGAGAGAACCTTCCTCCAGGATGCACAAGAACATACAACACACACGGAGAGCATTAAGCTACCCTCCCCGAACCGACCTCGACCCTACATACCACGGGCCGACCGCAAGACTAATTACGACCACAACCACGACTGCGAGCAAAGGAGCGACAGGGACCGAGCCGCCACGACGACGACGACGACGACGACCACTGCAACCCCGACGACGTACACGAACGACCACGACTGTGACCACGACAATCAGCTGCACGTGAGAGTGACCCTAGGCGAGAGTGACCCTTGGTGGGCGCCATTTTGGGGGGCGCGAGGGCCGCTGCTCTCGTATCGAATGCAGCGATCCAGGGGCCCCATCGGGCCCGCACCGAGGGTCACTCCAGCGAAGGGTCACTCCTAAGTGCAGTCGAGACGACGACGACATCGATGACGACGACGATGTCGACGACGACGACGACGTCGTCGTCCCCGTCGGCGTCGTCCTCTTGGGACGCGCGCCGCCGCCCGCCCTCATGCGCTGTCCCACGGGGCCGCCGCCCGCGAGAGGCCCGAAGCGCGGGCCCCGCGGAAGGCGGAGCGCTTCCTGTCGGAGTGGCTCGAGACCTGCCCCGAGACCGCGGCGCCTCCTCTCGGCGGCCAGCCCCGGGGGGGGACGACGACGACGACGACGCCGACGACGACGCCGACGACGACGCCGACGACGGCGCCGAAGACTCCGACGACTTCGACGACGACGACCACGACCACGACGACCACGACGACGACGACGACGACGACGACGACGACGACGACGACGACGACCACGACGACGACGACGACGACGACGACGACGACGACGACGACGACGACGACGACAATGACGAAGATCAGGATCTTGGGCGAGGGTCAAGCTAGCCTCGCACGGGCCGTGAGCGAGGCGCCTCCACACGGTGGCCGGCGCGGGCGGGGGTGGGAGTCTCGGGCTCCAGCCTCGAGGCTTCCGGGCGTCGCCGTCGGTTCTCGGCGGCTTCCCAGCCGTTGGGAGGAGTCTCGGGAGTTTCGGGCTCGAGGCTCGAGGTGTTCGGGCATCGTCGTCGGTTCTCGGCGGCTTCCCAGGCGTTGGGAGGCGCTCCGGCGGCTGCGCCTCGCCGAGGGCGTTTCGGGGGTGCCCGCATCGTGTCGAGCGGCCACCGGAGAGCCCAGGTCTGGCCGAGAAGCCACCAGGCGTCCGAGGGGGGCCGGGCCTTCTCGGAAGGCTCGGAAGTCCCCTGGCGCACCGAAAAGTTTTCTGAGCCTTCCCCGAAGACACAGGAAGCTCCTCAGAGAAGGCCTTCTCCTTCTCACTTCTCCCCTCGCTCGCCGCCGATCCTCTCAAGGTGGGTACGTGCACGACGACGACTGCTCCGGCGCCAGCGCAGACGCCGTCACCGGTCGTTCGTCGTCCGCTGTCGAGGTGGTGGTCGTTCGGTCGTGGTCGTCTTCGTCGGCGTTCGCCGCCGCCGTCGCCTTTGTCGTCGTCGTCGTCGTCGTCGCCGTCGTCGTCGTCGCCGTCGTGGTCGCCGTCGTCGTCGCCGTCGTCGTCGGCGTCAGAGTCCTGTGCTTTCGTCGTGGTCGTCGTCGCCCTGGTTGTCGGTCGGTCGGTCGGTCGGACGGGTGGTTTTGTAACGAGCTGCGGGGGCGGCGGCACACGCGTAGTCCCCTCGCTGTCTGGCCGTGGCGGGGGGGGTGGGGCGGCCCTCGCCTCCGCAGCGGGAGGCGGCTCGGACATGAAGGGGCCCAGGGGCACAGAAAGAAGCAAGCGCAGGTCTCAGGATCCCCCACGTCTTCCATACATGTTCGGGATGTTCGACTTCTCCCCCGCTTCCCATATTTTATTCTTTTTCGGGGAACCGAGGATCATTCCCCAATGAAGCTTGCCTAATTAAATGGTTCTTACTTGGTTAAAAGTTGGTGCCTCGGGGGGATACTTTGCCCCTTGCTCGGAGGTTCCCCTGGTTCCCTAGTGTCCCAGGGTCTTGGTGACTCATGCCAAGCAATGGCAAGCAATGCCAAGCAATGGCAAGCACTGCCAAGCTGTGCCATGCACTACGCCCATGCGATGGGGCTGGCCTTGACGAGGTGCTGGCCATGAACTCTGCGCTGTTGTACCGACTCGCGCGTGCCGTCTGTGCACGATGGAATTCTCGCGCTCTTCGACTGAAGCGTCTGGGCTGCTCTTGTGATTGAGCCACGGGCTGCTCTGGCGGTTGGGCCATGAGCTGGTCTTGCGATTGGGCAGCGGGACGTTCTCCAGAGGAGGCTTCTTCGAAGGCAGGAGGGCTCCCAAGCAGCCCCCTTCCTTCTCAGAAGTCCCCCCCCCTTGTCCTCCTCCTCCTCCTTCTCCTCCTCCTCCGCGCAGCCGTGGATCCTGTCGTGTCCCCCACGTCGAAGCTGAAACTGGCCTCGAAGGTCGTCTGTGCCATCTCCTGCTTTTGGTGAGGCTGGGGCCTGCGCACCGACTGCCCCCACGAGGTACGGCTGGCCCCAAGGACCCCCTGGAGCAGTCTGGGGCAGTCTCGAGAACCTCATCCTGAAGCGCGGGGCGCACATGGTAGCCGCCACAAGTGGCGCCGTGGTGCTGAGACCGCCCCAGAATATTTGGGGGGGGCGCTAAGCCTCCAGGGGGCTCTGTGCGGAGCCCCAGGCCTAACCGGTCTCCTGCTTCGTGTCGAACTCGTGGAAGCCCAGGTCGAACTGCTCGTACGTCCCCGACTCGTGCAGCTCGAGCAGGAACCTCTGCGCGTAGTCGCAGCAGGTCAAGTGCAGCATCGGCCTCTTGGGCACGACGCTGCGGAACGTGGCGCTCGACAGTGCCAAGAACTCCGACGAGGTCCTGCAGAAGGGAAAAAGAGGACGAAGAAGGGGGCGACGGCGAGCGAGGAGTATGGGGTTGGGAGGAGGTGAAGGAAGTGGACAGCTTCTCGAGCATCGGGCTTCGAAAACCCATGTGTCTGGACGTTTCGGCTTGACTTGGCCTCCTGCCTTCTCCTTGAGGTCTGTCCAAGAAGCTCCAACAGAACCTCCATGAATCCCCGTGCGACTTCCGAAGACTCCGGATAAGACGAGGAAAGCACGAGACGCGGGACGCCGTGCTTGAACCGCGACGTGGGTCCTGCTGGACCTCCCCGGCCCTCGCCCCAGAGCCGCTGTTTCCCGCATCGCCACGCCTGCGGAACTCTGCCCTGGAGCTCTCGACAACCTCCGAAGCTCCAGAGGGTGTTGCACGGAGGCCGTCGTGCGGTTGTTTGCCTCGTTCTCGCGACGCCTGGAGGTCCCCCAGGAAGGTCCCCAGGAAGGTCCCCAGAGGCCACTCTGGAGGCATCTGGACGTCCCCCGCCCTTCAAGAACGCCCGCAGATGCTCAGCACCAGACACACATGCGCCTTCTTTTTTCCTGGAGGAGGAAGGGCAGGAAAAGGAGGAGGGAAAGGGGGGGGAAGGAGGGGGGCGGGGAGAGGGAGGAGAGGGGGAACGAGGGGGGGCAGGAGGGGGGAGGTTCGAATCACAAGCGCTGCTATGCCAAACTGCTTCCCACTGGAATGGCTGATCCCTGGTCGGAATGGGATACCTAAACCTATACGACCACCCTTCGGGTGATAAGAAGGTTGGGGGGTGGGGGGGACGAAAGAACCAACTGCTGGCAAATGCGATGCGTGTGATGATGACGATACTGGTGGCGCGCCCTCAAATTAGCGATGACGCATGGTGACGATGTTGCGATGCGGTGTAATGCCACTACCGTCGCTGCGTTCGACTTCGCTTGATCGATCCCACTATCGAGACCTCACAGGATCGGACACACTCGATCGATCTCACTATAGATCTGACGATAAAATTCACTATAGATCTCGCTTTCGACCTCAGGATCGACCTGAGTATCGATCTCACATCCATCAACCTCACGATCGACCCCACTGTCGATCGCGCAACCAATGTCACAATCAACATCACAGTCGATCCCACTTCTGACCTCACTATCCATCCCATTCTAGCGATCCCATGATCGACTTCACTATCGACCTCACTACGGTGGGGGAATTGGATGAGGAATCATTGGATAAGAAATCCAGGGTCTGGAAGACAGTGGAACTCCAATCGAGGCTCGGCCACGGATACCACCGCCGCCATCCTCAGACAAAGAAGCCTCCAGGGTCTGAAGCATCCTGGGCGCATTCCTGAACTAACGCCCACACCGTATCGCCTTCACTAGCGATAAAAAAACATGTCTTCCATGCGGACCAGGGCAGATTGTTTACCCTGTACAATGACCCGCGCCGTTCGCCTCTCCAGCCATCTAGCGAAGACACCAGGCACACATTCTGGAACAGAGAACGCGCGTAGCTTGGCGAGCAGACGGGGCACATCGACTCGATCGAAAGCTCCCCTGACGCCAGAACAGGCGGGACACCCCCCGGCCACCGCCCGCCCACCGCCGACGGAACACGCCGACCAGGACACCCGACGGGGACACCGATGGCAGGAGATCCCAGGCCACATAGCGCGCCCACCGCTTCCGCACCGCCCCAGCGATAGGTCGGGCGTGGCCCCCTACAGGCACATTTTGGGCGAACGCAAAAATTCAAAAAACAACTCCAAAAGTATACAACAAATATCGAAAACATCGTACCCAGACTATTTAGAGTAGATCGACCCCTCCGAACTCAAAACATGGTCCCCAAAAATATTCAAACTCATACACATGTTCGAACATCCTCCTGTAGAGGTACATACCCGACTTAACCCTAGCGACTGCGGGGCTATTCCTCTTGCGCGCCCACGCAGCTTCGCCTCGCCCGCGCGCACGACACGAACAAGAAACCGAAACCGATTTCCCGGTGGGGGGCTCTCCGTTCCACGGCGATCTCGCCCCCCAACCTCCGACGACCGCCGAGAGGAGGAGAAGAGGGGGAGAACGAGGGGGAGGAAGGGAGAAGCAGAGGCGGATCGTTAGGGCTGTCTGGCTTGGCAAAGCACGCAAAGAGAAACGTGGGGCTATGCAAAGACTCGATCGGCGAGCAACGCCAGAAAAGAGGATGAGGAGGAACAGGAGGAGAAAGAGGAGGAGAGGGGGGGGAGGAGGAGGAGGAGGAGGAGGAGGAGGAGGAGGAGGAGGAGGAGGAGGAGGAGGAGGAGGAGGAGGAGGAGGAGGAGGAGGAGGAGGAGGAGGAGGAGGAGGAGGAGGAGGAGGAGGAGGAGGAGGACGTCGACGATGACGACGAGGGCGGCGACGAGGACGACGACGACGACGACGACGACGAGGAGAGCCGGCGTCCTGCAGAACAGCCTGCCAGGGTGCGCGAAGCGGACCCACAGCGCCGCCTCGCAGAACACGGTGCGGCTGGCCTTCCCCTCGAAGAACCAGGTCTCCTCGTGCGCCGGGGCTGCTTCTTCCATGCAGTCCACGAAGGGCCTCCTTCCTCCTTCTCCTTCTCCTCCTTCCTCCTTCCTTCTCCTTCCTCCCTCCTCCCTCCTTCTCCTCCTTCCTCCTCCACGCGTCCCTCCTCCCTCCTTCTCCTCCTCCTTTTCTCGTCCGTCTTGCGTGGGGCGGACGTTCGCTGTGCAGCTGTTGCGCCCTCGTGAGGGAAGAGAAGTCGGCACCCTCACGGAAATGCTTGGCAGACCGAGCGGGGAGGGGTGGTGCGAGGAGAGTGCGGAACAGCAGAGGGCCCCTCGCTGGCATTGCCTCCTCCTCCTCCTCCACCTCCACCTCCTGCTCCTCCTCCTCCTCCTCCTTCTCTTCCTCCTCCTCCTCCTCCTCCTCCTCCTCCTCTTCCTTTTCCTTGTCCTCCTCCCCCCCTTACTCCTCTGCCTTCCTTGAGGACAGCACGACCCACCCCTTCCCCCGCCAGGACCCCCACTCTCGACCAGGCGATCCACAAGGTCTTGTCTTGGCTGGAGGGTGGGGGTGGTGGTGCACTGGCGCAGGAGAACCACCAAGAAGCCACCCCCACCCCCAGCCAGGACGCCCTGGATCACCAGGTCCTCTGTGCGGTCCGGCCAGGCCCCCCGCCCGGCCGAGAGCGCCCGTTCCCTGGCTCGGGGGCGGCAGGGCGCGCCTGGGGATGGGATGTCCCGGGGCTGGCGGCGAGATGTCATCCCCCCCAAGGTGGGGGGGTGGGGGCCGGGGCCCTCCCTCCTCCACGCCCCCCCCTCGCCCCGGTCCGTCGTTCCGGGACTCCCCACTCCCACCCTTTGGCCGCGCCGCCCCCCTGGCTCCAGAACCCTGACACCCGAAACCTAGCACCTTAACCCTGAGGCTAACACCCGAACCCTAACACCCTAACCCTAACATCGGGCCCTCAGCACCCTAAAACTAACACCATAAAGCCTAAGCCTAACACCCTACCCCAGACGCGCAAGCCTAGCACTTTTGCCCCAACACCCTTAGCTATACACCAAAACCTTCGCCGTAACGCCTTAAACCGAAAGCCCTAAGCCTAACCCTAACAACCTAACCCTCTCCCCGTAACCTGATAACACCCTGGCCCTAACACCCGAACCTTACACTCAAACACAAAGGAACCACTCAACCAATAACTCAATAGCCCTAGTTTCCTAACCCGAACACCCTTCCCCTTAACCCTAGCGCGCTGACCCTAACTCTAACACCCGAACGATAACACCCTAACCCAACCCCAACACCCTAACACTAAAACCCAAAACCTAGTCCTGACAACCTGACTCTTACCCCTTCACTTGAAACACCCTATCCCTGACACCGCAAACTTACACCCTAACACAAAATCACCCTAATCCGATCACCGATCACCCCTAACCCTACCTCCCTAACTAGGCGTAACCCTACCAACCTAAGCGAAACACCCCAACACCCTGACCTGGAGGCGGTGGGACTTGCACGCGCGGAACTCGCACCCACGGAGCTTGCAAGCATGGAACTCGCACGCATGGAACTCGCACGACGCGGAACTCGCACGACGCGGAACTCGCGCGCACTAAACTCACACGGAACGGGACTCTCACAGACGGAACTCTCGCACGCGCGGAGCTCGCACGGACGGAACTCGCACGCGTGAATTTGAGGGCGAAGCTGCTCTGCGTGCGAATTCCGCTGGTGCGAGTTGCGTGCGTGCGAGCTCCGTCTGTTCGAACCCTGTCCGTGCAAACTTCGTCCGCGCTATTTCCGTCTGTGCGAGTTCTGCGGCTGCGAGCTCGTCCGTGCGAACACCGTCCGTGCGAACTCAGAAGGTGCGAATTCCGTTCCGCGAGTTCCGTCCATACGAGCTCCGCCCGTAAAAACTCCACGTCGCTTCCCGCCTCTCAACATTGGCGGGATGGAGGGGCGGACGGAGTGCGGGCGAGGGAAGGAGGTGGCAGGTGCATGGATACCGTCATTCTCATTCGCTGCCGATGCACGCAATCACGGCGGTGTTCACCGGCACTGTTCCATGTGGGGCGTCGTGGCGGCCGCCTCCACGCGACGCGTGCAGAATGTTGGTCCTCTGGTCTCGCGCAACATGCACTAACTGGCGTGCTCGAAGCCCCCCCGGTACTCACAGGAAAGTTGCTGGCGCTCGCGAGCATATTCTGAGGATCGAAGGCAGTTCTCCTACAGGAAACTCATGATACGGGCTCAACCTCCGCCACTCGACGCGCACTGCATTATGGGTGTGCGACTTGCAGTGGGACGAGCGCTAGACCCGCCCGTCAAGGTCCGCCTGGCCCCCCTGACCCCCAGTCCGAGAGACCAGCCTCGTGATACAGACGTTCGCGAAAGGCGTACTTTGGAAACCAACGTGAATTCATGTACGTGTACGTTTTCTTTCGCTCCCGAGAGAGAGAGAGAGAGAGAGGGATATAAAGCGAGAGAGAGAGAGAGAGACAGAGCGACAGAGAAACAACAAAAGAAGAGAAACCCTTTTTCCCATGTTCGGCATCAGGGGACCTGTCTCGGGCCCAGGGGGCGATGAAACTTCGATCCGAGGGAACAGCTGATCAGGAAAAACCTCGGCTCGGGAGGGGTCGTCGACCGCATGCTGCAGAAAAAAAGAAGATGGGCGCGAGGAGGAGGAGGAGGAGGAGGAGGAGGAGGAGGAGGAGCAGGACGGGGAGGGGGAGGGGAGGGAGGAGGAGGAGGAGGAGGAGGAGGAGGAGGGAGGAGGAGGAGGAGGAGGAGGAGAAGGGAAGAGGAGGAGGAGGAGGAGGAGGAGGAGGACGAGGAGGAGGAGGATGATGATTTAGACGCTTCACGGTCCCCTTGGGCCTCCTGGGGGGGCCCACGTCGCCGTGGCTGGATTCGTTTCGCCGTCCCGGTCGGCACGCGCTCCCAGTGGGAGACTCCGTGCGCCGATCCCGGATTGGGGCGGGGACGATGGCAGTGCGCCGCCCTGGATGCGTCGGCCGTGCTGCCGTACGCCCTCCGCTTCCGAATCCAGTCCGCGCTTGTCTCTGCGGCCGTTCAGGCGCCTTCGCTGCGGGAGGCGCCCCCGCCGCCCCGCCGCGGGGGGGGAGGAAGAGGAGGAGGAGGAGGAGGAGGAGGAGGAGGAGGAGGAGGAGGAGGAGGAGGAGGAGGTGAAGGAGGGGGGGGGAGGAGAGGGAGGGGGAGAAGAAGAAGAAGGAGGAGGAGGAGGAGGAGGAGGAGGAGGTCCGCGCGCGTCCCTGCGGTTGCTCATGCGTCTTCGCTGCGGGAAGCGCTCCCCTTGCAAGACGAAACTCTCCCGAGACGAAGCCAAGAGCAGGACCACATCGGATCGGGAAACATCGGGGCGAACTGAGAGCCGACGGGTCTGGAGGATGCACAGTACACCCTGCGAAATGCTTCAGAAATCATGGGTTAAGAAATTCATAGTCTCAGAACTTGAATAAAAACCCAAAATTCCCATTCAAATCTTAGGATTTACATTGAAACGTTAAGAATAATCGAGACTCTGGCCGAAAACTTAGGTTTCCTTAAGCATCGTCTAAGGTGTAGGCGCTCGACCACAAGAGACCCTCCACGAGAAACACGACCCTGAGACCCCAGGACGTCCACGGGTGTCTGGTGTGGGAACGTCGCGCTTTCCCTAGCAAGACCATGGGAACCCAAGAAACCCAGGGCGCCCTGGAGGCAAGCAGAGTGCTTCTTGGCATGGGCCCCCCACTGCACGGTCACAAGAACTCCAAGGAGGTGCTCCACGCGGGCCCCGCTCTGAAGAGAGGCCGCGCTTCACCCGTGCCGCTGCTGGACAATCGGGGGCATTCGGGCGTGTGAGCATACAGTCGGCCCGTATGATCAGGATATGCGGTAAGGATGCAAGGGCCTCGGACGCCAATGTCGAAGCTTTTCGAGCGGGGCGCGGCCAACCAAAGTGGCCAAGGATGGACCGGGGGGGAAAGGATGCAAGGGTACCCTTGGGAAGGTTGCTCATCCTTACTATGCGGGCTGACTGTAGGGCATCTGAGGACTTTGAGAACCTGACATTCGGGAATGTGAAGACGCCCCGATCAACAGCCCGATGGATCTAGTATCGAAGATTTAGGCATCTGAGGATTTATGTATCTCAGGAATTGGGCATTATTTGGACCCTGTTGGACCTAGCAGTTGGGCATTTCAGCACGCCCCGATCGAGAGCCTGGTCTTGACGAAGAGCCGCCCTCGATCCGCGAGTGCCTTGCTGCAGCAAAAACCTCTGGCCATGCCGTGTGCGGGAGTCTCAGCAAAGGACAAGTCCTTTTCAAAGGCAGCAGCCCTCCATCTCAGAGGAGGAGAAGGTACCAATACATCTACCCGTCCCTCACTTTCCACCTTTTCGGCTTCCAGGGAAGTCCTCGCCGTCACCGCTGGATCCGCCTAGACATCCGGGTCAGAACGCACCCTGGGAGAGGTCCGAGGAGTAGCGGTACCGGTACCTTCCGGTTCCCCCTCGCTCCGTCGAAGTGCTGGAAGCTTCTAGCGAATGAGCGCGGCGCCTCGGCAACAACGGCGCCCTGAAGACGTCCGGCTTCGCCATCCAGCCGTGCAACTGTTCGAAGTCTGGCGGTGCGATGAAGAAAGAACCAACATTTTAACAGTTATGGTGCACATACCATAGAATCAAACTTCTGATAACAGAAACATGAAGAAACAAACAAAACTTTAACAGTTATAAAGATCCATTCTGAACCAAAGAAATCAAAGGACATTACCATAAACTTTCGGATGTCCGCAGCGATTCCTTGCGTCGGCGCTGGGCCACCATCCCCGGCGCGCGGAGCGCCGCCAAAGGGGTCCAGCGCCGGTCCACGGAACCCGCGCGGACCACTGACAGTTTTGATGGCTTTAGAACTTGTCCCCTCACGAGGAGAAGGGTCTCCTCGTCCAGGTCGTACTCGGCGTGCCCGTGCAGCAGGAAGTACGCGTCCAGGGCGTCCTGGCTGGGCGTGAACAGCTCGCTCGCCATGTCCTGGGGCAGCTCGGTGATGTTGTTGCAGACTGCGAGCAGTCCTCGACGACGGCTTCGCAGGACCAGTCAGCATCGAATCGGCAAATCGGATCAGATTGGAATGTGCGTCATTTCGGGCTGCATCGGCACGGAATCGGAACCGAATCGGATCGGCCGCGCAAGGATGCACACCTGCGCCCTGCGAACATCGAACCGCATCGGATCGCTGGCACATCGGAATCGAAGCAGACCGGGACAGCCGCGGTCGACGTCGAACCAGACCGATCGCATCGGACTGGACACTGCCTCGCCGTTTTCGTTTCAAAATTTTGCTCTGCTTCTGCAGGCGCCACTCGGCTCGCATAGACTGGCCAGCCCCAGGACGGGGTCCAGGGGACGGACTCTGAGCGAAGAACTATGGGCGGCTCGATCTGCTGGAGCCACCAATGCCAGACCAGGTATTTCCGAGCCCCTTCCCCTCGGAGGCGGGCTACTCGTCGTGATCTTGCTATTTTGTTATTTCCGGTAGCGGTCGTAACCCTGGGGGGGAGAGTTGGGGCCCCGGGTAACGGTAGGGGTGCGGGGCAATCGCCATAATAGGCGCGCGAGTGCCAGCATGGGGGGGGCGGGTCCGCCCACCCCCCCCCCCCCGCCTGAATACGATCGTTACTGTTACCTGGGGTGGAGGGGCTTTGCCAGGGTAACGACCGTCACGCGCCAAAGGATAAAAAAACGCCGACCCTGTTGGCATGTGGAGGACGCGTCGTCCTCGTCGTCGTCGTCCTCGTCGTCGTCGTCGCCGTCGTCGTCGTCGTCGTCATCATCGTCGACGTCGTCGTCGTCGACGTCGTCGTCGTCATCGTCGTCGACGTCGCCGTCGTCGTCCTCCGCGTCATCGTCGTCGTCGTCCTCGTCGTCGTCCTCGAGGTCGTCATCGTCGTCCTCGTCGTCGTCCTCATCGTCGTCCTCGTCGCCGTCGCCGTCGCCACTCCCCGTTGACTCCATGAGTCCTTCTCCTCCAACATGCAAGCCGAGCTAACAAGGACGGACGCTGTGATCGAGTCGAAGGGCAGCCCCTTCCCTTTGAGCAGTGCCCCGCCTTGGGGGTGGGGTCCACGGCGGGGCCACGGGGCGTGTCCCAGGGGAGGTCCTGGTGGCGGGGAGGGTCCCGGGGGGTCCCTGGGAGGTTACCGCCCCTCCAGGGAATCCTGGGGCGCCGTCGCCGTCGTCGCCGTCGTCGCCGTCGTCGCCGTCGTCGCCGTCGTCGTCGCCGTCGTCATGGTCGTCGTCGTCGCTCAGGGTCGCGGCAGCACTGGCCGCACGACCTCTCCACTTCGCCGGCCCAACGGGCCAAGGGCGTGCTAAGATCTCCGGTCAATTCGCGCGCGCGCGGGGCCGCCCCTGGTGGTCCGGCAAGTCCCGGCAAGGCCCCGGCAAGTCCCGGCAAGATATCCCGGCAGTCCCGGCAAGGTCCCAGCAAGGTCCTGGGCAGGTCCAGGCCGGGTCCCCAGCAGGCTCCCAAGCGCGTTCAATGAGCGCAGCGGCCTCCAAGATAGCTCAACATGGCCCGAGACGGCCCAGGAGCGATCCCAAACGACAGAGATGGCGTACAGACAGCCCAAACCAAAGCGCCTGCAAGACGCTCCCAGATGCCTTCAAGAGACCTCCCAAGAGGGCCCACAGAGGCAGAAATAGAAATTAGTGATTTTGTTATGTTCCAAGTGCTCTAAGACGGCTTAAGAGGCTTCCAGGATCGCCCCAGCACAGCCCAAGAAGCCTCCAAGAGAGCCCAAAACGGCCCCAGAGGGCCCCAAGACAGCCCCAGAGGCTTCCAAGATGGCCCAAGAGGCTCCCAAGACGGCTCCAAGAGCAGGCCCACCCGAACGGACATTTCGAGCTCTACGCGCAGAGAGGTTCCATGGATGCCCCCAAGAAGCCGCAAAGAAGCCCCCAAGATGGCCCCGAGAGGCCCCAAGAGGCCCCAGATGCCCCAAGAGACCCCCACGAGATCCCCACGAGATCCTCAAAAATCCCCCAAGCGGCGCACTGCCGACAACCACTCGGCCAGTCGACCGCGGTGCGCAATATGGGCCGGAGGAATGAGCGAAGCGATTAAATTACCTCCATCCTGTTTACCGTTCCCGGATGGATCTGGGTTATAGAGGCGGCCCCCACAAGTTGCATGCTTCGAGGAGTCTCCGACGCTGTTTTTCTGATCGGGCAGTCCCTCTCCGTCGAACTCGCCGAGCTGGTAGAAGAAGGGCTGCCTGCACAGGACGGGGCCGTGAGCCTCCAGGCGCAGCTGGCGCTTCAGAGGAGTCGGGAGCACCTGGAAGACCTCCACGTCCTGCTCGCGGACCTTGTGCTTGGCGAGGAACTTGTACTTGCGGATGAACACCGCTATCCTGCTCGACAGCTCTCCCGATATCTTCTTGTCCAGCAGGTAGCGGGTGATGTAGTCGAGCTGCGTGTACCGGTGGTTGTTGTGCTGCCTGAGGTGGGTCATGGCGCTGGTGATGCCGCTCACGAACGAGGAGAAAATCAAGAGAGCACTGACCACGACAACGATCACGAAGACACGTTCCCCCGTATTCCGCGGAACAATCTCCATAGATGCTGGCGTAAATCCGCCACCATACCCCGTGGCACATTGAGGCGCGACTGAATGCACATCTTGTCACACGCATCGCCGCCCCACATTCCCCAGTCTCCCGTGGCGCCCCGTCGTTTCCAAGCCGGCCCAGGCAGGCACATCAAGGCTACCGGGTAGGGCCCCAGATGTAGACTCAGCTCGTCTCAAGACGAGCACAACAGCCCCTCAGGCGCGCCAAATAGGTCCCAAGACGCCTTGAAGAGGCCAATAATCAGTTAAGACGCTCTCCAGGAGGCCCTCGGTAGGCCAAACACATCGACATCCTTATAGGTGTTTCATTGTTCTTTGCTTCCCACGCCTCTGGCCCAAGATCGGCCCACTTGCGGTCTTCGAAAACCTGAAACGGCATACTGGGAGCCCCAAAAGGGCCCATAGACAGCCCAGAAGAGCCCTAAGAGAGCCCCAAGCTGGCCCAAGGCCTCCAGAGGGTCTCAAGACAGGCTGAGATGGCCCCAAGCTGGCCTCACGTCGGCCCTAAGGGACCCCCCCGAGTGCCAATAGGCCCCAAAGACGGCCCACGAGCGCCCCAAGATGACCAAGAGGGCCCCAAGGGACCCCCAAGACTGCCTCAAACGATCCCAAGGCAGCTCCAAGACGGCCCAAAGCAAGCCCTACGAGAGCTCCTCAAGAAGTGAAGGCGAGAGGTGTCACACGTGACAGGCTTCCTCCTCCTCCCCCTCCTCCTGATAATTTTCGTCATGATGTATCTAATCCACCTGGTCCGCCACTGTCCTCCTCCTCCTCCTCATAATTCTCGTCATGATGTGTTTCATCCGGCTCGTCCGCCACTATCCTCCTCCTCCTCCTCCTCCTCCTCCTCCTCCTCCTCCTCCTCCCTCCTCCTCCTCGTCCTCCTCCTCCTCCTCCGTCTCCGCCTCCTCATCCTCCTCCCTCCTCCTCCTCCTCCTCCTCCTCCTCCTCCTCCTCCTCCTCCTCTCCTCCTCCTCATCTTCCTCCTCCTCCTCCTCTCCTCCTCCTCCTCCTCCTCCCTCCTCCTCCTCCTCCTCCCTCCTCCTCCCCCTCCTCCTCCTCCTCCTCCTCCTCCTCCTCCTCCTCCTCCTCCTCCTCCTCCGTCTCCTCCTCCTCCTCCTCCTCTCTCCCTCCTCCTCCTCCTCCTCCTCCTCCTCCTCCTCCTCCTCCTCCTCCTCTCCTCTCCTCCTCCTCCTCCCCCTCTCCTCCTCCTCCTCCCTCCTCTCTCATCCTCCTCCCCCGTCCTCCTCCTCACTCCTCCTCCTCCTCCCTCCTCCTCATCTCCTCCCTCCTCCTCCTCCTCCTTCCTCCCTCTCCTCCTCTCCTCTCTCCTCCTCCTCCTCCTCCTCCTCCTCCTCAATCTCCTCTCCTCCTCCTCCTCCTCCTCCTCCTCCTCCTCCTCCTCATCCTCATCCTCTTCCTCCTCCTCCTCCTCCTCCTCCTCCTCCTCCTCCTTTCCCTCATCACCACCATCCGGACCTGGGTCTGTGGACCCAAACCGCTCCATGAGCCATGCTTTTCCTCATCCTCCTCCTCATCGTCACCATCATCATCATCATCATCATCATCATCATCATCATCATCATCATCATCATCATCATCATCATCATCATCATCGTCATCATCATCATCATCATCAGCATCATCAGCATCATCATCATCAACATCATCATCATCATCAGCAGCAGCAGCAACATCATCATCAGCAGCAGCATCAGCATCAGCATCATCATCATCAGCTGCATCATCACCATCATCATCATCATCATCATCAGCTGCATCATCATCATCATCATCATCATCATCAGCATCATCATCATCAGCATCATCATCAGCATCATCATTTTCCCACTCCACCACAGGACAGCCTAACAGGTACGCATGCTGTCCCCGAGACAGCCGAGGTGTCGCGCATTCCAGTCGTCTGGGCGTTGCTCCGAACGCCCCCGCTCCAAACGTCCCCACATAGAGGATTGAGAAGGAGAAGAGAAACAACGACGTGACACAAAATAAGGATGCCTTCAAAATGCATGGGGCTGACATTGAGAACGAGTAGATACATACTGACACGAGGTTGAAACCATGCCACCTGTTTCGGCGCCCCCGAGCCTAGAAGCACGAGGCGTCATACGTTGCGGCCACCTGAGCACCCCTCGAACTTTGGCAGCCGAGGGTGCTGGGCTGGCACGGGGGAGGGACTTGCCGCAGGCAGCTGGATTGTGTCAAACTCCAATGCAACGACGTGGTGTAGAAATAAGCCTTGTCACGGCCTTCGTTGTGCAGAGCGTCCACCCAAGCCAGCTCACCATAATCGCGAAGCGTGTTAGACAAGGAATACCAGATGCAAGCCACAAAATGATTCAGAATAATGATGAACGCTATGGCCTTGCCAACCCCGATTGCGGTGCTGAAAGTCTGGGACTGCATGGCGTCGTTCAGGGCGTCGAGCTGCCTGGGCACCTTCATGATCCTGAGCAGGCGAAGCATGCGCGCGGCCTTGCCGAATCGCACGAGCTTCCCCAGGCGCAGCAACCGGATGGCACCGTTGTCGAGGAAGGAGGCGAGCGTGAACAGCCAGTCGACGGACACGATGCTTACGTCAAAGAGGAACGTGCCGCGCAGGTATCTCCTGGCGATCTTCGTCAGGCGGACCTCCAGGGCACCCACGTCGTAGTATGCCGAAATGAACGACACGCCGATGCCCATCGTCCAGAAGAGCGTGATGGCCAATTCCACATATGCGTAGACCCCTCCAACGCCAATCCGCTGGCCCCCGCCGGCAGGGGGTGGGAGACAGTCGGCGGTCCTTGCCCTGCGGCCACGACGAAGATCAAGAAATGGTCCACCAGAGAACTCTGTGCCAGCTTCCTGGTCACCCCTTCCGCAGACGATGTGCCAGCGACGCGCAGAGAGCCTTGTGCATGACCAGGGGGCCGAGAAGCTGGGCCAACTTGCCAGTCCTCCGATGTCGCGACTCGTCAGTAGGGGCTCTCGACCACTTCCCCTGGGCCATTTGTCTGTCCTGGGTCGTTTGCTGACTGCCCCCTGGCCCCGAAGATCGCCCCCTACGGATGAAACACATGTCATACTACAAATGGATATTTGTTTCGAGCTGCCGGATTCTGATGTACTGGAGGCCGCCGAAGAAACACCTGCTCAACCTCACTCCCCCCTCCCTGAGAATCCATCGTCCATTGCAGGGAGGCGGAGCAAAGAGATTTCAACACCGCCCTGCCGCCAGATGAATACTCGCTAATAGGGGCTTGCTCCAGCCGAACCTCAGGCTCCCTTGGGCGAAGTCCTCCCTTGACCCTGGGCCACTACTTCTCGGCTCTGCCTCTTTGACGACGTGCGCGATTTTAACGGAGCTCCTTAAGCTGGCCTGGGGTCGAAAAACCGCTACATCGTATGCGCATAGCCAGCAAGCACTTGGTCGGCAACTAGAGGTAGGCCGTCTGCACACATCCTGGGCTGGGCCGTTCAGTCTGCCATACACATCGCGAGCTCTTGTCACGCCTCCAGGCAGAAACAACAACAACAAAGAAAAAAAGGCGCAACTGTGCCCAGCCGGCTCCACCTCTCCACCTATGCGGAGCGGCCTAGCAAGGGAGATGACGGCCTCAGTGGGCCATGTAAACAGCAGGACCGTCTGTTTTTTGTTTACCGCTTTCCAAGAATACACATGTATGATGAAAACGAGAAATAAAAACGATTCGCTGAAACGGTAACGAAAAAAGTTCACCAAAACGGCCTGGCCAAATCGGGGATCCGAAGGACGTTCGGAACCCGTTCGAAAACGGCTCAGATTCGGGAACTCAAATGTGATCTGGACCAGGGCCACACCAGGAGACAAGAGAACGGTCAAACAACAGCGCCAACAAAAATGAGGCGCCAGAGAAGGTAAAATCAACTGAAACTAGACCCGCGTACCACAACAACTGCCCTTCTCGTTCCAGGGCCCACTAAGACGCGACGGTACATCCTTCAGATCAAGCTTCGGCGGGGAGGGGTGACGCCTGACCGCGAGCCTGGCCTCACGCCTGGAGACGCGAACTCTGCCCCTCCACGCGCTCGGTCTCAGCCACAGGGGAGGTCAGGGAGCGTCGGCCGCGTGGGCTTTCGGCTCGGGCGCTGCAGGAGAGCCTGTGCCAAGTGCACGAATCACCGGGCCCGCACAAGGCCTCACCGTGAAACACGACTCGCACACGTTCAGACAGTCACCGTGGCCCTCGAAGGGAGATCACGCCCTCCCTCGGCGTCGGCGACGTGGCGCCGGCCTCGGGGACCTGCCCGCCCAACGAGCTGAGGGGCGCGTGGGACTTCCGAACTTTCGAGCTCCGTCGCCCAGTCGCCTCGTAGACTTTTAGATCCCTGGCACTTCGGAACTTGGGTCTTGGTCGGGCGTGTCCTCCCACAGGCGGAGTTGGGACGAAACATACAAACACGGAAAACAGATTCCAAAAATATTCAAAAATACAATGACAATCGTCGCCATCCCATGTTTCGACTACTTGAGAATATTCCTTCTGTAGAGGGACACGCCCGACTTCGACCTGGACCTCTGGGGCTCTACAGAGCTGCGCCCTCGGGCCGCTCGAGGACTCTGGGCCGCCTCGCCGGTCTCTTCCGAGCGAGCACCGCAGTTTCCCGCCGCCCGCTGCCCAGGAAGGCCCTCCCTCGGGGTCCAATAGAGGAAGGAGAACTATGCGCACACACACACAACACACACACACAACACACACACACAACACACACAACAGACACACACACACACACACACACCACACACACCACACACACCACACACATACATACACACACACGCACGCACGCACGCACGCACGCACGCACGCACGCACGCACGCACGCACACACACACACACACACACGCACACACACACACACACACGCACACACACACACACACACACAAACACCGATTTTGGCCAGGCCCATCCCGAGCCCAAGGTCGGTGCGTACGCCCTCCTGCCTTGGCCGTGCAGGTATATACCGATCCTGGGTCGAGGATAGGCCTCGCCAAGATCGGTGCATGTGCCTAGTTCTCTTCAATCCACGAGGCGGCCCGATGCCCACGCTGGGTTCCAGCTCGGCCCCACCTCGCTTGCGGGACCGATTCCATCGCTCCGCCTCTCCGCCTCCAGGCTGGGCGCCTGCGGCCTCCGAGAACGCCGCTTTTGGCCAACTCCACCGAACAACTGGACCACACACACACAAACACAAACAACCACAGATATCTACATACATATATATATATATATATGTATATGTATGTATATGTATATCCACATATATATGTGTGTAAATATGTATATATACATAAATATAGACGTGTATACATGTATATCATATGTATCAATGTCTTATGTGTCTCATCATATTCGGTACCCTATGTGTCCCTTGGGGCCCTGCCTTAACTGCTTCCCGCTTCGCGTGCGGCATCATCCTGGGTACACGTAGACATTCTCAGCGCCGTACCGGCCAACGCTCCGGGGCCCAACGGTGACGATCCAGGGGCCAGCCGTGGCCTCGAGACGAGCCCGAAACACGGCTCCAGCCCAGACATGGATCGGATGATGCCCGGACAGCGCTCGGGCCTAAAACGGAAATGTTCGTGCCGGGCCTTCCTGAGTCTACTCCGAGTTTCTGAGTCGGCGTCGGGGGGGCGCCACCCCCGCCGACAGCCCCACATCGACCCCCGTCGCGGGCAGCCACCGCGCGCCGAAGGCGCTCCGACCCCCGTCGCGGCGCGACGACGAGGCGAGGTTGACCCCCGTCGGGGGCCCCCCCACGCTTGCTCAGAAACCCAAGGAGTATCTGTGGCCTCCCCTTGGCCCACTCGCAGGCCCTCTTGGGAGGTCTCTAGGCCGCCTGCGGGCGAGTTGGAACGGCACTGGCGCCCTGGGCTCTCCGCGGGGAGCTGCGGGAAGCCCCCCCGGCCTTCTTTCGGCATAGCTCAGGCCCGTCGCGGGGCCATCTTCGGACCTTCCGGTGAGAACTGAGAAGGGCAGGCGGTGGCTGCGAAGCATCCCCGGACATCGAGCATCGAGAGTGGCATCATGATCACGTCGTACGACAGGAGAACCAAGGAGGCGACTTCCCATGCGGTGCGCACGCCGCTGTCAGGCCGCAGTACGATGCGCTCCTCTAAGCTTCGCCGCCTGGGTGATTCCGCTGATGCTCATTAGTATTAGAAGGACCCCTAACCCTTCGGGGCTGGACCAGAGTTAGGGGGCCCAAAACATTAGGGATAGGAGGTCGCTCATGCAGAGAACGCAAACCAAACCGCGCAGATCAATTATCCCCGGTGCAAAAACGGGAACCTAAGTGAGGCCACGTCTCCACAAAGCTACCAGGGTCAGGGGCTCTGCTGTCCTCGATGGACGGCGTTTTTTTTTTTCTGCGCCACGGCAATGCGCAGAAGAAATCAGAAAACGGTGCCGGCGCGCGCGCGCTCCCCCCACGCAGGCCAGCCTCGGACGAACCGGCACCTGGCTGCGAAGGGGGGCGGCGCAGAAGAGCTCAAGCAACGGCCTATCCTCGATGGACGGCGATGGTGATTATGACGAGGAGGAGAAAGGCACGGCCGCGCCCCTCGATCCCCCCCGCGCGTGATCTTTCTCGAGCCGCACCGATCTCTGCGAGGAGTAAGGGGCCCGAGAGAGGTGTCCTGCAAGAGAATGCCGGGCGGCGTGCCTCTTCCTCGCGACCCCCTTGAAGGGGCCCCAGGACACACAAATAAATACACAGAAATAAAAGGATTCCCCATATTTTCCCATATTTTCTGGGTTTCTGTCTTCCCCCCCACTTCCCATATTTTCCTATATTTTCTGGGAAATCGAGGATTAATTGTGTCTGTGTGTTTTTTCCCCTCCTGAATTAAGTCGGGCGTATCCCTCTACAGGAGGAGTATGCCAAAATGGTAAAAAAAAAAAAAAAAGCAAACAAAAAAAAAAAACATCTGGGGCGGTGTTTTAGAAGTTTTGCACATCTGTTGGATATGCTTTGGCTATGGCTGGTCTTTTCGTGCAGCATCCGCCTGTCGGGGGACACGCCCGACCTAATGCTCAAAGTGCCCCTGGCCACAGGTGCCTCCAGGATTTTCCAAGGAGGCCCCCACGGCCTCCAGAGCACCCCCCGTCACGAGGCCCAGAGAGCACGCCAGAGGAGCTCCCAAAGGTTGGGCGCGACAAGCTGGGGGGGCACCTTGGGCCTCAGAGGCACCTCCAGCAGCCCCCGGCCCTGGGACCCTTTCGCAGAGCGAAACATACTCCAAGAATGCTCAAAAGCGTGTCCAAAGACAACCCCTCGTCCACGTGCCATTTTTGTGGACTACGTTTGCCCATTCCTCCTGCAGCGGGACAGGCCCGACCCGACTTCCGCAGCCCCCGACCTTTGGGACCCGGGCGCTGGCCTTCCTGCGTGATCGGCCAGGGGGGCCCGTTGTCGGGCCCTGGGGCCACCAGCCATTGCTGAAGGGGAATTGGGACACACAAATAAATACACACAAATAAAAATGTCCCCCATATTTTACCATATTTTCTGGGTTTTTGTCTTCCCCCCCACTTCCCATATTTTCCCATATTTTCTGGGAATCGCCGATTAATTGTGTCTGTGTGTTTTTTCCCCTCCTGAATTGCTTGGAGTCCCCGAAGCGGTGCGGTGACCTCCCGCGCGGCGACCTCGAAACCCCCCAGGACCTCACCGCACGGTGGTCCGCCACCGCACGACGTTGGGGCATCGGAGGCCCCTGTCGCCCGAGACGTCCTCCCAGACCCCCTCGAGTTATGAAAAAATCACGACGGGAGGTTTTTCATAATTTTTGGCCTCTGGGGGCCCTTACCGGCCCTCGGGACCGTCAAAAAACGACTCGGGACGAAGAACCGGTCCCGGGGAAAGGGTCCAGAACGCTGGGGGTCGACGTCATGAAAAATTCATGACGTCGGGGGTCTGGGCTCGGAGAACGACCCGAGTCCCAAAAGCCGTGCGGTGACCCCGAATCCCCACCGACTCACCGCAAGGTGTGGTCACCACCCCACCGGGCCCCCGACATTGAGCCGGGACGAGAGAACCGCCCCCCGGGGACGGGGTCCAGGCCTTTGGGGCCCGCGGGAGGAGAACGGCAGGAGTGAGCGAGCGGGAACTCTGAGGACCTGATTTCGGAGCGAGCTCTCCGACCAAGATGCCATGCCTCTGGTTTGCGGCCCGGATCGCTCCTGGCGGCCCCCGGAGCTAGAACGCTGCCTCCAGGCTCTGAAAAAGGATGAGCTACGGCAGGGCGAAACAATCAGTGGACACTCCCCCGCTTCCCCAAACTCAGAGTTGGCACGCGCGGGGGAGACTGCGGTCGAGGTGCAACTCATCAGACCCACCGCCAACTTTGAACATTGGGGGGAGCGGGAAGCGTTGACCGATGAACGTGGCATGCGTGTTCCTTGTTTCTCCCAACCATCCTGTGGTGTTGGGTCCTCGTTTTGAAGAGACGGTCCCCGCGTTCCTTTCGTCTTCTCCTCTTCTCCTCCTCCTCCCCCTCCTCCCCTCCCTCCTCCTTATTCCATGCGATTCACCCACCCAGTACAATGTTTCGTGGCCCCATAGGGAGCTCCACAAAAGCCCCCAGTGGGACCGCCCGCATGCGTCCCCCACACCCAATTTGGCATTTTCGACCAACCAGCACAGCGTTTCGGCCCCCTGAGGAGCTCCACCGAAGCCCCTAGTGGGACCGCCCGCATGCGTCCCCCACGCCCAATTCGGCATTTTCACCCGCCCAGTAGAATGTTTCGTGGCCCCATAGGGAGCTCCACCGAAGCCCCCAGTGGGACCGCCCGCATGCGTCCCCCACACCCAATTTGGCATTTTCAACCAACCAGCACAACGCTTCGCGGCCCCGTAGTAAGCTCCAACGAAGCCCCCAATGGGACCGCCCGCATGCGTCCCCCACGCCCAATTTGGCATTCTCACCCACCCAGTAGAATGTTTCGTGGCCCTGTAGGGAGCTCCACCGAAGCCCCCAGTGGGACCGCCGGCATGCGTCCCCCACGGCCAATTTGGCATTTTCACCGACCCAGTACAACGCTTCGTGGCACCATAGGGAGCTCCACCGAAGCCCCCATTGGGACCGCCCGCAAGCGTCCCCCGCACCCGATGAGCATTGTCACCCACCCAGTACAGCGTTTCATGGCCCCGCAAGGAGCTCCACCGAAGCCCCCAGTGGGACCGCCCGCATGCGTCCTCCACGCCCAATTCGGCACTCTCACCCACCCAGTACAACGCTTCGTGACCCCGTAGGGAGCTCCACCGAAGCCCCCAGTGGTACCGCCCACATGCGTCCCCCCACGCCCAATTTGGCATTTTCACCCGCCCAGTACAGCGCTTCGTGGCCCAATAGGGAGCCCCACCGAAGCCCCCAGTGGGTCCGCCCGCATGCGTCCCCCACACCCAAGTTGGCATTGGCACCCACCCAGTGCATCGCTCCGTGGCCCCATAGGGAGCCCCACCGAAGCCCCCAGTGGGACCGTCAGCATGCGTCCCCCGCACCCGATTTGGCACTGTCACCCACCCAGCACAGCGCTCCGTGGCCCCATAGGGAGCTCCACCGAAGCCCCCAATGGGACCGCCCGCACCACCACGCCCAATTTGGCATTTTCACCCACCCAGTACAATGTTTCGTGGCCCCATAGGGAGCTCCACCGAAGCCCCCAGTGGGACCGCCCGCATGCGTCCCCCACAGGGAGCTCCACCGAAGCCTCCAGTGGGACCGCCTGCATGCGTCCCCCACACCCAACTTGGCATTTTCACCCACCCCTTACAACGCTTCGCGGCCCCATGGGGAGCTCCACCGAAGCCCCCAATGGGACCGCCCGCGTGCGTCCCACACGCTTCATTTGGTATGTTCACCCACCCAGTGCAGCGTTTCGTGGCCTCATAGGGAGCTTTACCGACGGCCCCAGTGCTACCGCCCGCATGCGTTCCCCCCCCGCCCAGCGCAGCGCTTCGTGGCCCCATAGGGAGTTTCACCGAAGAAGATATTCACAATTGCGGTACCCACAACTTCATATGGTTGGGTCTTTCGCCAGGATAGTTGCCCGAGGCCTGTAGCATCGGTCTGTTCGGTTCAAAACATCAGGGGTCTAGGATCCCGTGCCGAGTCCAGTCGTGGACGCGAGGGCCCTCCAAGCCACTCGAAGACCCAGCTCGGCGGAAAACTTCGAGCGTTTCTCGAAGGCTTTCGAACGTGCTTCGAACCCCTTCCAAACAGCCGTCTGCTGTGTGGGGAGAGCCCCCGCGAAAGATCGGAGGGTGCGGCCTCCTCGTGTGGCCGCTGAAGTCGCGGTCGATCTCCACGAAATCGGCCGCGACACCTGTCGGTGGGACGGAACAGGAATCCCTGAAAACATCGGAAGACGGGCCCTGCACACCCCGTGGCCCTCACCGTGACGGAGCTCGCTGACTTGCCATGTCGCTCGGACGCCCCTTCCCCATGCACGCTGCGGCTTCGCGCGTGGATTGTTCGCACGATGATCCGGGATGCTTCTCTCGGCTATACGCAAGAATAACCCTGGGTAAGAGTGACCTCTGCTGCGCGACTTTTTGGGGGGCCGCGGGGGGACCAAACCTTGGCGCGCAAGCAGCTGCTGCTGCTGCTTCGTTTTCAGCCATCTGGGGACCCATCTGTGCCCGCACCAGAGGTCACTCCGGCGACAGGTCACTCTTACGTCTAGTCGATTCTCGATGGCCCTCGCCGAGAAACGAATGCACCCGTCCGAGCGATGCCGCGCCAGAGGAGAGGCTGCACAAGCGTTGGCGTTCGCAGGTCCGCGCCGGTCGGCGCAGGGCCCGCCTCCCCGGCGCAGGGGCGCCAGAGGCGAGGGGGCGTGGGGAGGCTGGGGCCCGCGCCGGCCCAAGAAATCCGCGCGGACCTTGGAACGTTTTGTTCTTGTTTGTCATGGGGCATTTTTTTTCCAGCGCAATTTTGGGAGGAGAAGGGGGAAAGCTGAGGGGACGAAGCGGGCGAGGGCGAAACATCTGTCCATGGAGTGTTCCGGGACTCATGATCAAGATCCGCAGCTCCGGTGGCCCGCAGAAGTGTGGACGGCTCTGTTTTTGCTGTTCCTTTGCGGCACTCGGCCTCCGGAAGCGAGGTTCGGGCCCAGCGGGGCCATCAACAAGACACGATTCTGGCCAAACCTCGAGGCGGATTGATGTTTCGAGCCCCGGCGCTCTGCAAAGACTTCGGCCTCCAGGGGCCGCTTTCGAAGCTCACGGCGATCAAGCGTGATGCTGATACGAACAACAAGCGGATTGGAACAAAAACACTACGTCGGCGCTCTCTGGCTTCTCGTCGACCCTGGGCAATTTTCCGACGGCCCCAGGGCCCTAGAAGGTCATCCACCGCGACGGGAACGGCGGGACAAAAATACTCCTGCCCCCATTGCCTTAGGTTGCAAATGCTGTCTCAGGGGCTACTGTAGGCAGGGTACAGTCAACCAGAGGATGCGCGGTAAGAATGCAAGGGCCTTGGAGGGCCACTTCGAAACTTTTCGAGCGGGGCGCGGCCAGCGAAAGCGGCCAAGGACGGGCCGAGGAGGCAAGGATGCAAGGGTACCCTTGGGAAGGCTGCCCATCCTTACTGTGCGGGTTGACTGTAGCTGTAAAGGAAAAGACGAAGGAGCAGGAGGGAATCGAATAGTGGACGGGGAAGGATGAAGAAGATATGAGGGAGTGGATTTAGCAGGACGGGAAAATCACCACAGCCACTGCTTCTTGTTTGCGCCGCCTTCCAGCCGGCCGAAAAAGAAGCAGTGGTTGTGGTCATTACCCCGGTGCCAAGCTTCACGACAATGACCACACCCGCTGATTTGTTTCTGCTGGCTGGAAGGCGGCAACAAAAGAAAAGCAGTGGCTGTGGTCAGTTTCACGTCCTGTAGATTTGGCAGGGTGACGAGGAGCGACCGCAACGAATGAACTCGTGGGACGGCGCGGCAGCGAGCTGGAGGCCATTGGCGGCCTTCGCAGCTGCCAGGCTTTTGTCGTGAAGTGTGAGTGTGCTGGGAACGCTCACGCGTTCATCATACTCTGCCTTGAGCTTGTGATGCATATATATATATACGTATATACGTACAGGTATATATACGCATACAAATACAAACACATTTGCATATACATATACAGATACATTTACATGTTTATAGATATGTGTGTATACGTAAGCGGGCGCGGGAATACTCTCGCTCTCCATGCCCAGCCCTAGGAGAGTAGTGGGGGAAGCGGGCAAGTGGCTACGATGGAGCGCAAGCAGGTGAAGCAAGCAGGGGCAGGAACTGTAGTGGCTGAACTCGTCACATGCTCGGAAGGAGGAAGGAGGAGGAGGAGGAGGAGGAGGAGAGAGCGCATGAAGAAGGAGAAGGAAGGTTCACCTCTCCCTTCTCCACCGCCCGCTCCTCGTCCTCCTCCCTCCTCTCTTCTCCTGCCCCTTCCCTCAGGAAGAGCAACCCGGCGAGCATCCGCTCAACCCGCCCGCTGAACTTGAGAGAGGCCGCAGCAAATCAGGACCCTTCCTCTCCGTCTAGAGACCTCCCAGAAGGGGTCGGGAAAAAACGAAATCCGAAAAACTCGCCACTTTGCAGATGCATCGACGACGTCGGCGATGCAGGGGCGACGTCCGCGTGGATCGAGCTCCACATCGAGCCGCATCGCCGATGCATCGGCGATGCGGCGCGATCCTCCGACCCCATCTGCTCCGCCGACCACAGCTGGGAGGCCTAGGCCGTCCAAGGGCGCAAGGAACACCTGCAAAAATGAGCACCCCGTAGCAAAAGCGGGACCTGCCAGCAAACCGCGCTGAAGGAAGCGCTCGAGCGGGACAACGCTGCCTGGGCAAAGCGCGCGCGACTAACGAGCTGTGGCAACGCACATACTAATGCTGCCAGGGCAAGCGCCGGCTGTGGCGGACGCCTCCGCGCAAGTGGTCCATCCCGTCGGCCGCGGCCCGCGCGTTGCCAGCCACGTCGAGCTCACCGCGCCTAGAGAAGCCCTCGAACGGGACAGCGCCGCGTGGGCAACGCGCACGACTCTAGTCTGCGGCGTCGGAGCCCGTCCTGGTCCGACATGGCGTGGGGCACACGGCAAGCGAGTTGGGGCACGGAGAATTCGGAAAGAGCGGAGGGAGGCGCGAGTCCGCGAGTGGGGACACCAAAAGGCACCGATACTGCTACTCCACGGGCCTCTCCCGGGGTGCGCTCTGACCAGGATTTCGAAGCGAATCCAGCGGTTGCGACGAGGGCCTCCCAGGAGGCCCAGGAGGGGGAAAACGAGGGAGGATGTCCAGCAACGAGGGCGACGGGTCGAGTCGGCCCACAATATTGAGTTGCACCCCCCCGGCGACCAGGTCCGATGTTAGAGCGGGCCCCCTCCTGCCAGGTTTAGGAGCCCAATCGATGCAAACGGCGACGCGCTTCCGATCGAGATGGGTCTCGACAGCTATGTGAACTTCGCAAACGGCGCAGGAACGTTCGTAGTCATCGTGTTGTCGCAATGGGACCGTCGGGGTGTCCTTTCCCTACTCGGAGCGACGGAAGCACAACGCACACGACAGACGAGCAGGCGCCGGCTGCGGCGGACGCCTCCGCGCACGTGGGCCAGCCCGTCGGTCACGGCCTGGGCGTTGCCAGCCTGGTCGCTCCTGCGCGGGAGGGCGGGAGCGGGCTGCGAATCGACAAGAAAACAAGAGAAGGAACATAACTGATGCAGAAATACTGAAACAGATTCTAAACAGGCATATTGAAACCAACTGGTGTTCTCAATCTTAATGTATGCTTTAATCGGAAGGAAATCATCATGCGCTAGTCTCAAGTATCCAGGTTCCCGAATTCGTCAGGCTTCCGGAGTTCGAACCAGAAAACTATTCGCATTCTACTATTTTTTTCAGAGCGCACCGCGTCGAGCACGACGACGATGGCGACCATCGCGAATACATCCTCCAGGGACCCCCAGAGGAGGCTCCCAGGAGGCGCCCATAAGGGACCCCCAAGAGGCTCCCAAGAGGCCCCCAAGAAGCTGCCAAGAGGCCCGAGGAAGCATCCCTGAGGACTCTGCCCTACGTGAGCGTCGTCGTCGCCGCCGACGCCGGCGTCGTGATCGTCGTCCCCCTTCGGGGTCTGCGGCACCGGCCGCAAGGTCTTCCCAATACATCCTTCTAGAACGATATTCGCTGTGGATCCTTAGACTCCTCCTCCTCCTCCTCCTCCTCCTCCTCCTCCTCATAAAGATTCGACTCCACCTCCCATCGAGGCCGGAGTTATCGGACCACCTCCCCGTACTGTTCTGTTCACATGTATGACACACGACCGATCATCCTAAACACCAGATAGTACCATTCTGCCCGGACGGGCATCGACCCCCGCAATCTCCGACACAAAGTAGTATGCGGCGCGCACGCATTGATCTAGGAAGCGTTTGTTCTAGGAGTCCCCTGCGCACGGATAGTCACGATGCGGGGGGCACGTGCGCGCGCCGCCGCGGGCGACTGTCAGATCCACTTCAACGCCACTGGTAGCTCACCATGGGAGGTGCCAGAGTTCTGCGCGCGGGCTCGCTGAAATCATAGTGAAGCCAGCAGTTCTGTCAAATTAGACAATGCGGGCATGTCGAAAACGTCCACCTGCTGTATGGTCAGCCCGCCAAGTCTGAAAACCCATATCATGCGAGCCACACGCGCGCGTCTCCGCGCGCGCAGTTCGAAATCCTCACGACATCCACTTGTTTTCTGCACTTCTGCGGGCGGGCATCCCCTTGCCAACTTCATCAGCCATATCGATACCACCATCGTAGCGTCATCAGTGCCATGGCCATCGTCATCGTCGTCATCATCGCCATCGTAATCATCGTCACCATCACCATGATCATCATCGTCATCATCAGAACCATCATCGTCAGCATCATCATCCTGATTGTCACCATCATCACCGCCGTCGTCTACTGTCATCACCGTCCACTTTATCACCATCACCATTATCGTCGACGACATCGTCCCCGTCACCACTGCCATCACCATTGACAGCAGCGTCATCACCACTGTCAGCACCATCATCGTTGACGTCGCGGTGGTTACCATCGCCACAACCATTTTGCGACCTGCTAGATGGCTTGTCTGCGCGGTATGGCCAGATGAGCAGTTCCAACAAACTGCGGGTGGGGGCTCAGCGTGGATCCAGGAAATCCGCACGGACCTCCGACAATGCATGTGTATGCAATTGGTCCTAAACACCTGGGTCAACTTCTACACGTCTTCTTTAAGAAACGAATTGGTGCGTCGCTGGATCCGGAATCGGCCGGGCGACGTTGGCCCCTATGGCCCACCATTGGCCACCGTTGGCCCCCATTGGCCTCCGATGGCCCGCTGCTGGCCCCCCTTAGGATCTGCATAGGTGCGATAACTAACTCAAGTTGAAAATCTGAGAATTAGTATGAGCCCAGCGCGACCCCAAATTGGGGAAAGCTTACTATTGCATGGGCGCAGTGCTTGGCACTACCTGGCACTGCTTCGCATTGCTGTGCGTTGCTGGGCATTGCTGGGCAGTGCTTGGCATTGTTTAGCATTGCTTCGCACTGCTTTTCAATTCTTGGCGTTGAGCGGCACTACTCGGCATTGCTTGGCATTGCTTGGGGGACCCGGGGAACCCGATGGAACCCGAGGAACCCGAGGAACCCAGGGAACGCGGGGACCCCGATGAACCCGGGGAACCTCCGGGGAACGGGCAAAGTAGACTCCCGAGGCGCTAACCTTATAACCAATTAAGAACCCCTCAGGCAAGCCGAACTGGGGGATTTGCGCGAATACAAGTCGTAGTAGTAGTAGTAGTAGTAGTAGTAGTAGTAGTAGTAGTAGTAGTAGTAGTAGTAGTAGTAGTAGTAGTAGTAGTAGTAGTAGTAGTAGTAGTAGTAGTAGTAGTAGTAGTAGTAGTAGTAGTAGTAGTAGTAGTAGTAGTAGTAGTAGTAGTAGTAGTAGTAGTAGTAGTAGTAGTAGTAGTAGTAGTAGTAGTAGTAGTAGTAGTAGTAGTAGTAGTAGTAGTAGTAGTAGTAGTAGTAGTAGTAGTAGTAGTAGTAGTAGTAGTAGTAGTAGTAGTAGTAGTAGTAGTAGTAGTAGTAGTAGTAGTAGTAGTAGTAGTAGTAGTAGTAGTAGTAGTAGTAGTAGTGGTAGTAGTAGTCGTGGTAGCAGGAATAGTACTAGTAGTAGTAGCAGTAGAAGTAGTAATCCCACCAGCCCTTTGGGCGTGAGTGGTTTAGAGAGCTCTCTCTCTCTGTTCTCAACCCCCCTTCTTCCCCTTCGGGGAGGGGTTTACCCCTCCCCCTACCCCCCCCCCCCTGGGCATGGCGAGGGCGCCCCGCGGGTCGTCAGGGGGGTCATTTTCGACTCCTGGGAAGGCTAAAAAAACGACACCCCTCACGAGGATTCGGGCCCCGACGGGGGGGGGGAGAAAAAACCCTCTCCTCTTCTTTGAAGCCAAAATCATTGAATGTACTACGGTTTCGGCCCCATTTTGGCCTTCTGATGGGGGCCGCGCTCATCGTCCTTCATAGCAAAATCATTGATGTAACGAAGGTTTTGGGCTCATTTTGTCCTTCTCAGGGGGCAGCGCTCATTTGCGCTTCTGAGAAGGTCGCAAGAGGCCCCAAGATGGCCCCAAGAGGCCCCCAAAAGGCTCCCAAGAGGCCCCCAAGAGGCCCCCAAGAGGCACCCAAGAGGCCCCAAGAGGCCCCCAAAAGGCTCCCAAGAGGCTCCCAAGAGGCCCCAAGAGGCCCCACGAGGCCCCCAAGAGGCCCCCAAGAGGCCCCCAAGAGGCCCCCAAGAGGCCCCAAGAGGCCCCAAGAGGCACCCAAGAGGCCCCACGAGGAGCCCGAACGACTCACACCAGGACGAGGGGCCCGAACGACTCACACCACGAAGAGCCCGAACGACTCACACCACAAGGAGGGGCCCGAACGACTCACACCAGGACGAGGGGCCCGAACGACTCACACCACGAGAGCCCGAACGACTCACACCACGACGAGGAACGAGAGGAGCCCGAACGACGACTCACACCAGGATGAGGGGCCCGAACAACTCACACCACGAGAAGCCCGAACGACTCACACCAGGACGAAGAGCCCGAACGACTCACACCACGAAGAGCCCGAACGACTCACACCAGGAAGAAGGGCCCGAACGACTCACACCAGGACGAGAAACCCCAAACGACTCAAATCACGAGGAGCGCTTTCTCTCCCTCCTCCTCCGCCTCGTCCTTCTCCCGCTCCCCCCACAAGGAGGATGTACAAGGAGGCGGGAGGAAGGAGGAACAGGGGAGATATGCGGGGCCAAGCGGACACACGCCTGAAAAACACGACTGCCGACATGCTTCGCAAGAGTTGCTGCTGTGAGATGGGCTGGTGGGGATACGCGAAGCGTAAAGAATGATAACGCCAAGAGTAGTAGTAGTAGTAGTAATAGTAGTAGTAGTAGTAGTAGTAGTAGTAGTAGTAGTACTAGTACTAGTACTAGTAGTACTAGTAGTACTAGTAGTAGTAGTAGTAGTAGTAGTAGTAGTAGTAGTAGTTGTAGTAGTTGTTGTAGTAGAAGTAGTACTATTAGTACTAATTGTAGTATTACTACTAGTACTCGTCATCATACGGCTAGTAGTTCTACGAGTGATAGACTTACCAGATTTCGTCACAATGGTCCTACTAGTATTGTTAGTAGTAGTAGTGGTAGTAGTAGTAGTAGTAGTTATAGTAGTAATAGTAGTAGTAGTAGTAGTAGTAGTAATGGTGGGAGAAGTAATGGTAGAAATAGTAGTAGTAGTTTCCGTAGGAGTAGTGATAGCAGCAACCGTACCCGTTGCAATTGTTGCACACCTGGTAAACATCGGAAAGGAAGAAGAAGCCTTCAAGAAACACTAGTAGTAGTCGTAACAGTAGTGGTAGTAGTAGTAGTAGTAGTAGTAGTAGTAGTAGTAGAAGTAGTAGTAGTAGTAGTAGTAGTAGTAGTAGTGGTAGTAGTAGTAGTAGTAGTAGTCGTAGTAGTAGTAGTAGTAGTAGTAGTAGTCGTAGTAGTAGTAGTAGTAATAGTAGTAGTCGTCGTCGTCGCCGTAGTAGTAGTCGTAGTAGACGTAGTAGCACTAAGGTCCATCCTAGTAGTGGCAATAGTAGTAATCGTCGTCGCCGTTGTCGTCGTCGCAATCGTAATCGAAATAATATGAATAACCGCAGATGCACAACGACCGCAGTGGTAGTCGTAGTGGTAACGGATATGGCTGTTGTAGTAGTACTACAAGAACTACGATAGTAACAATGATAGTAATCGCAGTCGTAGTAGCGATAGTAGTAGAGGTAGTCGTCGTAGTAGTAGCGGCCGTAAGAGTAGAAACGTCGTCGTTGTAGTAGTAGTACCGGTAATCTGAATACTGATAAGAGTACTGTGGATAATACTAGTAATAAAATTAATGCATTGAGTCGTGATGGTAGTAAAAGAGGTCGTCGCCGTATTAATAGTAGTTGTCGTAATAATAATGGTAGCAGTAGCCGTAGAGTAGTCGTGGTAGCAGTAGCCGTAGCCGCGTTATGATATACACTTAGGAATAATCAGAGCGGAAGAAGAAGAAGAACTAGTAGTCGTACCAGTAGTAGTAGTAGTAGTAGTAG